ACTCTTGAAGGTGCGTAGGAAACCCAACCTGCATCATGTCCCCCCTCTGCATGGAGGCAGGCCTGACCTCATTATTCCCATATGTACAAAACCTTTATTTTGAATGATGGATTATTTTATGAGAAGCCAAATGCTGAGGGAAAAGTTAGTGAACCGTAAGATATAATTGATTATCCCCAGTGTTTTAATAAAGATCATTACCTGTGCATTGGAAAAAGCCTCTATTTGGGAAAAAAGCTCATCACAAATTAGGCTGTCAAGTCACAACTATTGCCAGCAAAGAATTTGAAAGAGTTCTTTTAGTGTGATTACTGCCAATGCCACAAACCACTAAGAACAATAAGTATCATGTCTTTCAAAGTAAGGGGCATCCCTTTTCACCATGGCATGTAGGAAATTTAAAATTACTCCTTACATCCTTCTCCTCCTAATTATTCTTTTTTCTCATTTATTCACTCTACAAAAACTTATCTAATGCCTACTATGTGCCAGACATACACATACCACTGTGTGCCAGGATACATCAATAATAATAACAACAACACAAGAACAGCAACTATAGCTAATACTCATAGAGGGCTTGCTTACTATGCACCAGGCACTATTCTAAATACATACATTAGTCAATTTAATCCTTGCACCAATCTCTTGAGGTAGGTACAGTTATACCCCCACTTTGCAAAATGAGCAACTGATATACAGAGAAATTAATTCCCCAGGTCACACAGTCAGTAAATGTCAGAACCAGGCTTCAAATCTACATCTTTTGGCTGCAGTGACCATGCTCTTGACCTCTATGTGATAGGAACAAAAACAGACCTGGCTTTACAGAACTTCCAGTATACTAGAAGAGACAGATATTAATCAAACACGCAAACATATTTCTAATTTCAAATGCTGATGAGTGCTATGAGAAAAGATCAAGAGATAGGGTGGTACAATATTGCAAAGGTTCTTCTTACCGGCTAGGAAACGCAATGATTGCCTGTGGTGATTCACCTCTCACCTAAATGACAAAGTTGTAAAACTTAAGAAAGCACTACTGGCTAAAAAGAACTGGTGAGAACTAAGGCTAGGAGGCTGGGGAAAGTGACCAAGCGATTCAGCCCTAACCCTTGCCATACAACTTTACCATCTTGGTGGCCCTTCATTTTGGTACACTCAGAATTACAAGTCGGGATAAGAAAATATGACGAACACAAATTCCCCCACTCTCTTGCCCTTAACCAAAAACCAAACCCACCGCCAGAGAGTCAACTCCCATGCTTAGTGACCCTATAGGACAGAGCAGAACTGCCTCATCGGGCTTCCCAGAATGTACATCTTTACAGAAACCAATTGACACATCCTTCTCCTGCGAAGCTGCTGGTGGGTTCAAATCGCTGACGTTTTTGGTTAGCAGCCAAGCACTTTAACCACTGCGTCACCAGGGCTCCTTCTCCTGCCTTGTCCCTCCTAATTTAGGAAATTCAACCTGGATCAGGTGCCGCTCTTCACAGATGAAGGCAATTGCTTCCTCATATGCTACCCTCAACCAAGAAATCTATGATTGGTGTCTACAAACCTTTAAATTTCACATAGATACTTACAGCCTATTTAAAAAAAGAAAAGATTTCTTTGATCTACAATGGTTTAAAGACATGCATCTAGTAACAATTCAAAGTATAGTTTATAGTCAGAAAAACAAACAAACATACAAAACAAAATAAAAAACTTTTATGAGATTTGGCCATTGGTAGGCTTGGAAACAGAAAGAAAGAATGGTTTAAATTGCAAGAACACAGACGCAGAGAATCAAGTTCCCAGAGGGAAAAATTTCTTTTCTATCTGGATTTTTTTTAAAGTCTGGATTTTATCAGCCTGCCTGACCAATGACAGAAATACCTCTTTCAATTTACCGTCAGAGAGATCACACAGGAAGAAAATCAAGTTGTTTCTCCGTAGATTTGGGAATATTTGCATCTCTGATTGCTATTATTTATATTATGTATTATTTTTGTCTTCAGTCTTTGCATTAGCCATGATCCATAAGTATAGGACTACACCCAGAAGTAGTGTGACATATTAGATTTCAGTTCTATGTTTCCTGTTTTCACCCTACTGAGACTGTAATGATTTAGAGGGGAGAGGGAGAGGGCAAGGTGTTCATAACAGCACCATTAATTATGTGTTCTCGACACATCTAGATAGAAGAGCAACATCATTTTCAAGTTCAATAAGTTAAGTACGTTTTCTGGTTCATTGTTCAGAATCATAAAAAGAATCATTCTTGATGGTGGATCACCACAAGAATGTTTCCTGCTTCATCGTCTTAGTGTATCATTTCACACAGGATTTTCTATTCTACTTAGTTATGATGTATGATGCTACTACATTCAAATGCTTAGATAACCAAATGCACATGTTAATCATTTGACTCCCAAGGAGGGTTAAACAGTCTCTAATAAGCAAATGATATATTAAGTCTCATCTTTCATATTTAGCAAATTACACTCAAGTGAGTCCACATATAGTTAAAGTATGAAAAAGCTACCTAACATCGAAGAAAAACAGTGTAAAGTTTAGAAACTAAACTTTCAAAGCAACTTCCAGTCCATTATGTTAAAGTTCTTACTGGTGTCACAGACTTGAAGAAAAAAAAAACTAGAAAACCATGTTAAATGTGGACATTCTTCAGAAATATCCTCTATATGTCATTCCTTAAAAAAAAATCTGTGAATATAATCAACTTTGATTCTGACCTGTCATTAATTCTTTTTACTAATACATTTCATTGATAAATAAAATTATATACTTCTATGGTTTACGTAGAAATCAAATGCCAAATAAATTGCATATAAAAGTTTAAAAAGTGTGCCTACAACTTAAGGATCTGGACTTCTCCAAAATTTAAATAAATGTCCTTACAGCTGCTTTAGTACCAAGGTTGTCATCACATTTTATACTGGCATAAGAAAACAAATATATTTATGTCAAAATTCTGAAACATGACACCATATTTAACTAATCCAGAATAAATTTTTTTTTTACTTTAGGGATTTTTGTGTGTTCTATTCCAGGAAGAGTAAATAATAAAACATTGTAATAATCGTAGTTTGTATTAACTTCAAAGCTGATAATTCCTTCCCAAAGATAGTTTTCTTCTTTCCTTTTTTTTTTTAAACTTAGGTTTAGAGTACAAAGCCTCATTAAAAATGAAATATTTAAGAATGTGTTGTTGAGAAATCACCTGCAAATTATCTTCAGACCTTTGAAAACAATCTAATTTGAATCACCAGTCTAAATAGGTCATTTAACTTAGAAAAATTAAAATTAGCTGTGCAGGGTCAATTCTTTTTCTAAAACATCTGCATCCTGCATGTCCTGTTGTCTTCAAAGTCAAACCAAGGCTACGAGTCAAGAACAACCATGATGCGTGAATTTACTTCAAATTTCAAAGTTATTCAGCTTTTGAAACAGACATAAAAGTTAACATTATGTATAAAAACATGCAGGGAGGCAGTGGAAGTTGGCGGTGGAAAGAAAAGAAAAAGCAGAACTCTTACATTTCAGGAGGATAACTGGCTGTGTGAGGTGGATGGATGTCTACATATTCACTCCTTACCTTTTAACATACATACTTTCACAGTGTATGCAAATCAACATCAGCCAAGATACCCTTAATTCGAGCAAATACTTCCATACAAGTTTAGTCTCCCACAAGCGTCTCATATCAAAATAGCCGGCAAGATGATGAATCTTAAGGCTGTCCTCCCAGCACGTTTAAGAATTTAATCATCCTGTAACACTCTGGCAAACCCAGAGATTAAATCTCTACTCCCCAGAAAACCTTCCCAGGCACAGGGTAAACTACAAAATCATGAAGCTAAAGTCTTTAAAAAATCAGAACAATAAAATAAAGCACAAATGAGAAAATCTGGCTGTCTGAGACGTTCTATACCCCTTCCTTCATACCCAAGCCATCCATAAAATCAAACGACCCCAACAATGTTGAAACAGGAAGGTGTTAAGGCTCCAAGGACAAGAACTGCCTTTAGAAGGGAGGGCATCCAAGGGGGCTGGCAGAGAGGGAATCAGCATTGGAGTAGGTAGAGAAAGGAGTCAGTTTTGTTTCCGAACTCTTCCAAGCCGCCAGGAAATGCACCCCCCATCCGCTTTCTCTAGGTTAAGAGTAACTGATGCTCAGAAAAAGTACTTTCATCTATCTGTTTTCTCCAGCTATCCACAATCTATCGTCCACAGGCAAAGAGTGATCAGGGATACTGATGAAACAGGGTTTCCTCTCTGCCCACCTCCCTAAAGCCACTTCCCAAAAATGATATCTTGAGAAATCTTGATTGACTCAAATCTGCGCTCTGCTTAAAGAAGCATGAAATAGAAGGACCTCTGCCTGACAAGGAAGCAAATCCAAGACTTGACATTGGGGAAATGCTAAGGAACATTCTAGGATTTATTCGTTCCCAGATGAATGATAAAATATTTATAACTGCCCGGGACTGGGAGAAACAATTCCACTCCAGCCCCTCCACCACACCACCCTCCTTAAGCAACGACAGAGTCCCATCGAGGGGCAGAGCAAGCTGACTACTCTTTCCAGTACAACCTCTCCAAATCCGCTTTCTCCTCGCTGTGCCTTCCTTAGTCCCTCAGTAGCCCCAGCCCCGACCCCCATATCTCTCCAAGCGGCCGCTTCCTCGCCCCATCTTTACTTCTGAGCCGACTCGGCCCAGCAACCCCCTGCCTCCTGCGTGTTCCTCAGGGTGGCGCCCCCCGCACTTGTGAGGTTCAGGAACGCCCCGGGACGAGGCGCCAGTTCTTGGACTGGGGAACCCTGGGGGTTCCGGCCGCCCAGGATTCCCGCCCTCTACACCCCCACGCCTGAGGAGATTAAGTTGCTCGGCACCCGGCTTCGCGCACAGCCCCTATCCCTCCCGCTCTGGCCCCTCCCGGGCTCTGGCGCCCGGGGTTCCCCGCCTCCGCGGAGGTGAGCGCGCACTCACCGGAGGTGAGCTGCATCCAGGCACAGATCTTGTACACGGTGGCCGTGTTGCAGAAGAAAAAGAGGGTAAAGCAGATGATGCAGGCGATGATGAGCATCATGGAGAGCCCGATGAAGAAGGAGGCGGCTTTGAAGGCGCCCGAGGGCAGCGTGGAGAAGTCCGTGAAGCTGCCCCTGCAGGTCAGCTCCCGGGAGAAGCCGTTGCCGATGCAGTAGTGGAAGAGCCCGAAATAGCCAGCTTGCGGGGTGTCCACGCCGTCGCCGATCCAGTAGGGTTGGATGAAGCACACCACGTTGACGATGGCAAAGCAAATGGTGAAGATGGCCCACAGCACGCCGATGGCCCGTGAGTTCCGCACATAGTTGGTGTGATACAGCTTGGCAGCCTCCTGAGCCGGGAGCATCGCGGCGGCAGCGGCGGCAGCTCCGGGCATTCTCCCCCTCCTCCTCCTCCTCCCCCCGCCTCTCGGCGCACAGGAGACACACTCGCGGAGCCGCGCGCGCTGCAAGTCCCCTGCCTCCGCCTCAGCCCAGCAGCGCCAGTTTCAGAGTCTGCATCCTCGCTCCCGGAAGGAGGGCGGGGGAGCGCGGTGCACCCCTCCGGCTCGCCTGGCCCAGCCTCCCGGCCCCCCTCCCTCCCTCCCTCCCTCCTGGTCCGGGCTCCAGCCCTCCTCACCACCCTCCACCCCTTTTGCCGCCGCCGCTGCTGCTGAAGGCGGCAAATCCAGCGCGGGGCAGCGCTGCGCGCGAGCCGAGAGCGCCCCCAACTCGGTTTCCCGCCTCCTGCCCCCCAGCCCCGCCCGGCTCGCGCCGCTGCTGCCCGGGGAAACGGAGGACGGCGGCGACCCCAGGAAGCCCCTCTAGTGGCGGGCGCGGGCTAGAGAAGCTAGCCTGGTGTTGGGGAGCGGGGCCTAAGGAGGGAGTAGCGAACACCTACAGGAATTCTACAGGCCACACCAGGAGCCCTGTTGATGTTAGGGGGCGGGCGCGCGAGGCTGATTCTAGTAGCCTTTCAGCACTGCACAGCAATGTGCCTCGACCTCTACTTCTTTGCAGAGGTGTGAGGGGCAGCGGCAGGTGCAGGCGAGAGACGCGAAGGGAAAAGAGAAGTACTGCCCCCAAGAGACTTTCTTGTTACTACCACAGAACTGCCACTGGCTAACTCCTTGGTGGCCTCGGGTCCACTACGAGGAGGAGACAGAAGTTGGGCAGGTACAGGGCTTTGAACCTGTTTGTTAGGGTTCAAACCCCTGCTGAGAATGTACATTTCCACCTGCAGATATTCTGAATCAGAATTTACATTTTAACAAGATCCCTTGGTGATTTTTTGTGTATACTGTAATAAGTTTTTAGAACTACTGCTCTACTAGTGGTTCTCAAAATTGTTTCCTACCCATAGTTTGGGATGGGGTCGAGGGGGTGGGAATCTAGCTCAACTGGCATAACATGGTTTATAAAGACAATGTTCTACATCCTACTTGGGTGAGTAGCGTCTGGGGTCTTAAAAGCTTGTGAGTGGCCATCTAAGATACTCCATGGGTCCCACCACGTCTGGAGCAAGGGAGAATGAAGAAAACAAAAGACACAGTGGAAAGATTATTTTAAAGGACTAGTGGACCACAACTACCACGGCCTCCACCAGACTGAGTTCAGCACAGCTAGATGGTGCCGGGGTACCACCACTGACTGCTCTGACAAGGATCACAATAGAGGGTCCTGGACCGAGCTGGAGAAAAATGTAGAACAAAATTCTAACTCACAAAAAAAGACCAGACTTACTGGTCTGACAGAGACTGGAGAAACCCTGAGAGTATGGCCCCAGGACACCTTTTTAACTCAGTACTGTAGTCACTCTTGGAGGTTCTTCAGCCAAAGATTAGACAGGCCCACAAAACAAACCATAATACAGGTAGCTCAACCATGTATAGGAGACTAAACAGTTATACCAGCCCAAGGGCAAGGACAAAAAGGCAGGAGGGGACAGGAAAGCTGGATGAACGGAAATGAGAAACCCAAGGTTGAGAAGGGGAGAGTGTTGACACGTCTCGGTGGGTGGCAACCAATGTCACAAAACAATATGTGCATTAATTGTTCAATGAGAAACTAATTGGCTCTGTAAATCCTCATCTAAAACACAATTTAAAAAAAAAGAAGCAAATAAAGAAAAAGAATTGGTCCCTAACTAGCAGCCATTAGCATCACCTGGGAACTTGTTAGAACTGCACCTTCACAGCAGGAATTCAAACCAGAATGACCTGGTTCAAAGCCCTGGGGGAGTCCGGCAGGCAGAAATGTAAAACACAAACCTTAAGGTTAGTAAGTAAGTGATCTCCTATCTGCTCAGTTGAGCTTGTATCCTCTTGGCTTTTTTTGTGCGTATGTTTCTTGTTTTGTTCCCTATGCAGCCAAATGAACTGTAGCCAATAGATGCCACACACTTTAAGACAGGTCATTTTTCCCACAAATTTTGCCATAGCTAGGGCCTGTGTGTGCATGGAAGTGACTGTGTCACACAAATGTATCGTTTATTTAGAAATGTTATATTTAGATCAGTGTTATATTTATTACACAAATATTCATTGGCAGCTGTGTGCCCAGGCACTGTGCTGGGTGCTAGGGATACAAAGAGGGCAACAGCCAATGATTGTTTTAATTATCCAGGTTATTTCCAGAACTTACAACCCAAAGCTCCAATTAACAGGAGAGTTTGAGTAACAGGGTAATTTTCCCTAAATTATCCATATATAACTCCTTTACATTTTTATGTGGCATTGTTGCTCACCTGAACTTTGTGCTGTTTACTTAGCTTAATTTTTCCGTTTTCCAATCTTTCTATTGCTCTTTTAGTAGTCCCCACCTTCAAACTCCATTTCTCTATTCCATTGCTTACTTTTTTATTCCTTCTGACTCTAATATAAAGAAACATATAACCCCCACTCAAAGTGCTTAAACCAGAATGCTCAATAGCAGCAGCAGACTTTGGTAACCATTCTGAACCACATAACCATTGAATTCTCTGGGCAGAAAGAAGAGTTCTGTTAAAATTTGATCCCTAAAGCTACACTTAATTATAATGCAAAAAACGGATATTAGCTCTTTGAGATTATCTTGGCAATCTGCCCAATCTGCCCACTCCTTTGCTAGAGTATTGAGATAAATGAGATTCCAGGTGGAATATCAAACTAGGAGTTTAGAACGGTTCTGTTTGAAAAAAAAAAGGAGAGAGAGAGATCCAGTAGGTATTTGGGTACATAAATGGCTACTATATGAAAGAGGAGTCATCCCCTATGTGAAGAAGACCAACCATGCTCTTATCTGATAGCTTGAAGATTTGAGACTATCTAGAGAGGGAGACGAAGGCAGTGGGAATAGTCAGGTGACACACAAGACAACGAAGGGGCTGTGGCTGAAGCTGAGAAAGGATTTAAAAGAGTGTGTGTTACGATCTTACGTTCAGCGAATCCTATAGGCATGAAATTCAGGTATTACTGTTCAAGGTCTGTTTGACAGGACTTTGAAAATCAGCAGAGGACAGAATTAAACAGTAACATGAGACATACAAGTTTAGGTGAGTAAGAATTTCCAGCAAGTGTGATTGTAGACTCTCAGAGGCCCTTCGATTTGGTGGAGGTGGGGAGAAAGACCTAAATATGAGGCAACCCAATATAACACCTGCAAGTCTCTAAAAATAAAATCCGTGATGATGTACCATCAGTGCATTGGTGGCAGTGGAGGATAATAACTTCTGTTAGGTTTCATTTATCTTAACCCTTCTGAAGTTGCTGGGAAATCAGAAGAGTTTCAATACGGAAGGAAGAGGAAAGGTGAGGGCAGGGATGGATTAACCAGAAGCATAGTATGTGCTGATTTATGGTAAGCAAGGTACTCATGGACTTAACTGTGCTTACCTACTAATCTGTAGTGCATACTTCACATAGTTTTCACTAATTTGTAGTGCACACTTCACATGGGTTTCACTAATCTGTAGTCCACAACTTCACATGGGTTGCACCACATCAAACCCATGTGAACTTGTGCACTACAGATTAGTAAGTAAGCGTAATTAAGCCCAAGAGCACCTTGCTTACTGGGTAATCCGTCCCCTGGGTAAGGGTAATCAGATTTATGGGGCCATCTGGTAGGTCATGCATCCTGGAGGCAAAGATAGCTTTACAGAATGAAGTGACAGTAATTTCCAGTGACTCTCCCAAGCCCTCAAATCCCCCTAAACTAGCTTGTATGAAGGGGTGTTTCTTAAAATCAATGCCTCAAAGAGATTTTACTGTTCTCGTGGAGGCTTGAGATGGAAGGTTGCTGAGAGGGGTAGGCTGAGAATCAAAAAGCTTGGTTTATACCACTGTGCTTTAATTGTCTTTACAGGACAAAGAAAAGCCTGGTGAGTGACTCAGATTCAAATGTTGTGATTCAAAAAGCTTTTCTATTTGAGTCATCCCCAAGGACAGCCTTATTCTTATTCCAGGTTTGGAATTGCCTCTGGGTTTGTGCTCAGAATCACTCTGCCAAGAGCACACTCAAAGTGTCCACACTTGACAACAGCAATTAGGTGAATTCCTGATCCAAAGTGTCCCCATAGAGTTGTTGCTCCTTGAGGTTAGGAGACAGTCACGGATGAACTGGACCCTTCCCATGTCCCTTCTTCCCACCCTCGCCCTGCCCAGCACCACAGAAGATTTCCAGGATTGAGCAAAGTCTCCCAAGACACTTGGAACTAGGTATGAGCTAGGATACCTGTAAACTCTCCACATACCATTAAAGAATGCAGATAGTCCTTCTACCTATTCCCAAATCTCTCTATCACCCACTCCCAACTTTGCCCTTGGCAACTAGGAACCTCAGAGGTAAGACTGTTTTTACCCTTAATCCAAAGATTTTGGCTGGCACCACGCAGACTTCGGGAGTTCACACAGCTAAACATCTGGGCAACTGATTGCATTCATCAAATATGTGACCAGGAATTATGTTTTGGGGAGGAGGAAATAATAAAATTATCCTGATTCATGCTAAGAAGTTGCTATTAACAGAAAAGTATTTTGAAACTATAGCATGATTCAAATGTGCTAAATAACTGGTAGAAGGCAGTGTCATCGACATCATAGAATTAAAAACACTGAATACTCAGATCTCAAACTTCACTATTAAAAATGATTTTCTCCTACTGCCGCAAAGAGTCAGTAACGAGTCTCACTCTTTCCCCAAAGCATGTCTCAATGAATGTTAGGACTATAAAAGAAAAACAACAGAAGAAGGGTAGTTGGCAAGAAGAACAAAGTGGGAGGCCTCACACTACCTGATTTTAGAACCTATTATACCGCCACGGTAGTCAAAACAGCCTGGTACAGGTACAACAACAGATACATAGACCAATGGAACAGAATTGAGAATCCAGATATAAATTCATCCACCTATGAGCAGCTGATATTTGACAAAGGCCCAAAGTCCGCTAATTGGGGTAAAGACAGTCTTTTTAACACATGGTGCTGGCATAACTGGATATCCATATGCAAAAA